AAAGTAAGCACCTAAAAGTAAGGGCTGGTTACACTACATTTAGAAACAGTGAAGGGAACTGAGTGGCTCCAAAGTGCAGTTTGTCCCCTCTGAAGACCCCCTAAAAGTGCTTATTAAGAGAAATAACTAGCTAAAATGTGAACATCTAACTTCTGACATCTAAAGCTGAATGGCTACCTAGCTGAATCACAGGCATTTGCTTGTTCAGTGAAAGCTGACAGTCAAGATCCTCAAAATTCATGCCGAAGTGTGGCCTGCCAGTGGGGAAACCTGTCTCCACTACATTTGCCAAGATCTTGCATTTCCAGAGTTGAGATGAGTAGGCATCTCAACAAAAATCTTGATGCCAGCACATTTCATGCCCCCTGGCCTTTTCCAGCAGGCAATCCCAGAGCATACTTCATTCACCTGACATCAAACGGTGCCGAGACAAAAGGTGTCTCTGTCACTTTGATTCAGGTCATCAGCGGGATGTGGAAAACCAAGGCTGGAGTCCCTGCTTCCGTAAGTATGGATTGATGCAACATGGGAAAGGTCTGAGCAAAGAAGCAGAAAATCCTTTGCTATTTTGGGCCCCATCTTCTCGTAGAAAGATAGGCTCCTATCAAACGCTGCTCCAAGTCAAGTAGAAGTGAGGAATGAACCTGCACCTTTAGAAGAAGAAAGGACTTACATAAAAAACTTTCCCATCCCTAATGTCTAATGCAAGAAGGAACTTCATCAGTACTTAGCCTCCTGAGGATGCCTCGGCGCTGCTGCCTTAGTATCCCAGGCTGTGAAGTGTCTCACAGCGGCCCAGTTGGCCTGGTTTCAAAACGTCATAGATACCTACCTTTTTGGTACTTCTCTCTCCAATTACACTACGTGGATAGCCTGTCTGCCTAATTCAGGGCCAAGGCTTCCATTACAGGGAGAGACATGAAGGAATTGGGCAAAGCAACACTGAACTCTAAACTCCACCCTCCATGCGAGACTCTTGTCCTCTGTCTGCACCTCTGGCCAAGACAAGCTCAGCTTATAAACACGCACGGAGATCTATTCAGGCCTCTACACTTGCTAAAAATGAGCAGAAGGTTTATGGTCCAAAATCCAGCAAAGTAGGCTTTTTGTGGTCAATATGCTTAGAGCTGAGCTGAAGAGGTTTCATTCACAGCCAAGGAGGTATAAAATGAAAAACCAACCACAAACAAGACAAACCCCACCCAGAAATACACATTTCAGGGTTCAAAAGGTGACTCAGGCAGTGAGTGGATGAATGAGGGGATCATGGTTATCAGGAAGAGGCTCTTCTTATTGCCTAGGTACTATAAAAGTCGAGGGAGAAGTGACCTCCTGGTGAGACGTGGGCTGTAGATCTGGCCTCTGACAAAGCATCGAATGGTAGCGTGGTTACTGAGTCCACTCCTGCATCCCTCAGCGACTGGCAGGACAGCGTGGTTCAGAGAGAGAGAGGAAAAGTGAGCGCGCGCACACATGCGAACACAAAGATAACAATGGCCCACGTAGTTTACATTCTCTGTTAGTTCTTCAGCTGGTGTTTGCTAAGGGAGCTACTACTACAAATTCAAAGGGTGTCGTCTGTATTTTACTTGTTTAACTCTGCTGCAGTACAAAATCTCCTGCCTGGCTCCCAACTGGTCGAATGCCACCCTCAGACTGCTGCTGTGCAACGGGCTGGCTATAGCCATTGTCACGACAAGCCTCTGCCCCAGCTCCACTGGGGAAATACAACTCTCCTGGGCGTGCTTCATCTAAAGTTTTATTGCCTTCATATACTTAACCTTAATGCTCGTAACATTTCATTCAAATCTGAAAGTACTAATGATAAAAATCTCTTTAAATGCTATCATTATTTATTGTTGCATTACTACTAGGCAGGTATCTCAATGGGTTTGATAAACTGCTTGCATAATATGTAGTTTTCACTTAAAATGTTGAATGACTAAGATTTTTATTTTAAACCACTGCTATAAAACATCACTGAAAATGCCCCGAAGATGATAATCAGAACATATTTTCTTCTGGAAATATTTTAGTCATCAGAAAGGCAAGTTTACCTTGTGTGAATATGGAAGTGTTTGATGGAAGTAATTTGAGGCTTGTTCTGTTTTCTTCGAATCCTAACTCTGCAATGTGCTGATGTTTTTCTGTGCACTTTCATTTTTAACCAGGTAATCAAAGTACACTTTAACCCCAAAGAACCATGTTAGTTAATAATAACATGGATTATAAGGAACAAATGCTATTTATCGTTGTGTCAAGCTTGCTGGGAATTGTCATAATGTTATACTGAAATAGCCCTTGTCTTTAACTTTCGGGTCACACTCACTGTGGTTTAATATGACTCCTGCTTGTTTTCTAAGTTGACCCCTTAGGTGACAATTGATCATTTGAGGATTCTTCTGAGTGTGGCTCCTGTTGAGATGAAGGCTAACAGAGAAAACACAGCTTATTATAAGAACAAATGAGCAATAAGAAATGTTTAAGATAGTTGTATGACAAGCATTGCATCATACTGCACCTTGAGAGATAAATACAGTTGAGGTGGTTTGCAAATTCCTATTTCAGTTGCTTTGCAGAACTTCCATTTCCAAAGCCTTAAATCCACAGTTAGTAAGGCTGAGGTCTGAATTATATTAGTTTGTAAAATTTGAACAAAAGTTGATCTGATATACTTGAGAAGATGGGTAAAGAATAATTTAAAAAACCCCAAACTGATGCCAATTTTAAGGAAAAAAAATATTATGACTTGATTATTCATTTTACCAGGACTGTGCTATTTGCCATAATAATACAGAGCGACCAACAGTGCCAGCCCCAAAGAATTTCTGTCCTGCTTGAGCCCTGACATGGGTGAACACAGAACACTTAAATGGGGATGGGGGGATCAACAAATAAATAAATAAAAATCAAAGGCTCTTGCTTTGATCTGCCACTTCTCCGAACGTTTCAACACCGCGCCCTGAATACACAGAGCTGAACAGCAAGTGAAGGACCTGCTAAGAACAGCCTGGAAGGTCGCTGACTGTGGGCAAGGTGGACCGGACAGCCTACCCGTCCCGAGCGGCGGGACAACGCGCGTGCGGTGCGCGTCCCCCGAGCTGCACATCAGCCCGGGCAAACCCCCCCGCTCGGGGTCGGGGCGAGGTTCCCGTGACACTTCGGTCCCACGTTCACGCAAGCCCCTGGAACAGACAGCAAGCCGGGACCCCATCCGAGTCCCC